CGATGTGCATCGATACAATTTCCTCCCCACACGAAGGAGAGCCATCCTGGCGACGGTGACTTAAGGAAAAGACGCTATAGGTGGGTCGTAGCAGGGTTTAAGTCACGTGACGTGAACTGTTTCACGGCCTCGGCAGTGATGATCGGGCGTTGGGTTGACCGGCTCGACGATGTAGTTTGCGGGAGATGTCTGCTCCAGTATGCGGTAGCGACCGTGGTATCGGGACAAAAGCTTGGTGTAAAGTCCGGGAGTTGTGGACGGGACCTAAAGCCAAACCAGCTTTCCCGAGGAGTAATGGGCGTCAGACGCAGAGGTGCCATGTCGCAATTTTGGCGCGACTGATCTTGCGTGGTGTACGAGCGAGCCAGTTTACGGCATTCTTCGGCGTAAGCCGCAGCTTGAGAGATGGGTTTGCCCTCAGACTTGTCCAGTTGGTACGTCAGAATGGTGTCCACAGAACAAGAAGGTTCACGTCCATACAGGAGAAAGAAGGGAGAGAAGCCAGTGGTAATTTGAGACGCAGAGTTGCAAGCGTAGGTGACGAAAAGGAGTACGCGGTCCCAGTTTTTGTGGTCTTCCGACATGTACATCGCCAGCATGTCGGCAAGGGTATGATTGAAGCGTTCCGTCATGCCATTAGTCTGAGGATGGTATGCGAAAGCGGTGCGGTGTACAATGAGGCATTCTTTAAGCAGAACATTGATGGCATCTGAGAGGAAGACGCGGCTACGGTCACTAAGTAATTCCCGTGGGGCCCCATGGCGCAGAATGAGATGACGAAGAAGGAACCACGCGACGTCTTTCACAGTGGGGGCTGGTAGCGCAGATGTTTCTGCGTACCTCGCGAGGTGGTCGATGGCGACTATTATCCAGCAGTTGCCGTCAATAGTGGTCGGGAGTGGACCAAAGAGATCGACTCCGACATGGTCGAATGGTCGGGCAGGGCAATCGCTGTAGAGGACCAGCGGTCCTGTGAGTAGGAACCTTGCGACGTTGGCACACAGGGCACGACTGAACATACCGGCGAACGTATCGATACATGCCTCGCCAGTAGTACCTCAGGCGAAGCCGCGAGTACGTCTTGAACGAGCCAGCGTGACCGCACTGGAGGTCGTCATGAAAGGCACTGCAAATGTGCGCGCGCAAATGACGGGGGATTACGAGGAGCCACCTGCGGCCGTCGGTCAGGTAATTGTGGCGATACAGCAAGCCTTCACGAAGTGCGAAGTGTTGGACTTGACGACGTGGGGTGCATGAGGAGGAGTTTGGGGCCCGTTGAGACAAAATGTCAAGCAGGGAAGCGATCCAGGGATCTTTGCGCTGTTCTTCCGGCATGTCGGTGATGGTCAGAGATGATGAATAACAAGTGGAAGCTGGTGAGCGGCAGAGTCGGAAGGCAGTGGCGAACGAGATAGGGCGTCAGCGTCCGAGTGTTTTTGTCCGGAGCAATAAATCACGCATATATCATACTCATCATATAGCCCAGCTAGCCAGGCGTCCAGTCGGGTCTTTCAAGGACGACAGCTAGCATAGCGCGTGGTGATCGGTAACAGCATCAAACTGCCGCCCATAGAGGTAGGGGCGAAATTTACCGATTCCCCAAACTATTACCAAACACTCTTTTTCTGTGACGGAGTAATTAGACTCCGCCTTTGTGAGAGTACAACTGGCATACGCTTCAACGTACTCGCCAAAGTCTGGTTTTCGCTGAGCGAGTACCGCTCCAAGGCCGACACCGCTAGCATCCGTGTGTATTTCTGCAGGCGCGTTGGGATCATGGCACAGAATTGGAGGAGACATGAGGAGTAGGCAAAGCGTCATAAATGACTCATCGCTACCGGCGTTCCAAGCTGAGAGGTCGTTGCTGCCGGCGAGAATCTGTGTCAAGGGGGATATAATGAAGGCGAAATTGCGGATGAAGTGCCGAAAATATGAACACAGCCCTGTAAAGTTTCGGAGTTTCTTTAGAGTGCTGAGCTTGGGATATTCGGCAACCACTCGAAGTTTGGCAGGATCTGGCGAAATTCCTTCTTTGGAGACGACGTGGTAGGATAGTAAGCTGACAGGCGCCAAAATGACATTTCTTTAGGTTTAACTGCAAGCCGGCGTTAGGCACTGGAGAACTTGTTGCAGGCGATTGATATGAGATGGGAAATCTGCAGAAAAACCACTATGTCATCTAAGTAGCATAAACAGGTCTGCCATTTGAGGCCTCTGAGAATGGTGTCTATCATCCTTTCAAAGGTAGCAGGCACATTGCAAAGGCCGAAAGGCATTACGTTAAATTCGTATAAACCGTCAGAGGTGACGAACGCTGTTTTCGGATGGTTGGCTTCAGCCACGAGCACTTGCCAGTAGCCTGAGCGAAGATCCAGTGGTGAGAAATATTCAGCTCCTTGAAGGCAGTCCAGGGCATCGTCGATGCAAGGTAGGGGATAAACATCCTTTCGCGTAATCTTGTTTAGGCGGTGGTAGTCAAACCAAAATCTTATCGAACCGTCTTTTTTCCGCACCAGCACGACAGGAGAGGCCCAGGAACTGTTCGATTCTTGGATCACACCACGTTTCAGCATGTGATTGACGTTGTCACTAATAATGCGGCGTTCGGCCTGCGATACTCGGAAGGGACGCTGTCGCAGGGGAGCATGATGATCGGTGTCAATACGATGAACCACTGCAGACGTGTGCCCCAATAATGGCTGGCCAACGTCGAAAGAGGCACGAAAGCGCTCAAGCAGTTGAACAACCTTTGAGTGCTGGACTGGCGTAAGGGCGTTATAGATGCTGCGCAGGAAAATGTCTTGGACAAGAGATGGTAGCCGCGGCGGAAGTGACGGCATTTATCGTCAGCGGTGCCTTATCGCACGTTGCATCCAAAGGGAAGATGGCGTCAAAACTGTCTAAATGACCAACACATTCGCCACAGAACAGAGTTGCCGAGCAAGGAAAGGGATTGCACGCGTAGACCACACCGGCACCATTCACAAGGGCAACGATGGCAAATGAAAGTATGAGGTTCGTCGCCGTGCACAGCTGATGTGCACCGGTACAATAATAATAATACTAATAATATAATATGAACTAGAGTTTAACATCCCAAAAGTCTGATAGAATATCAGGAAACCTGTAGTAGAGGGTTTCGTAAATTCTAACCAACTGGTGTTATGCACTTGGATCGCACAGTACTCAGGCTTCCGGCATTTCGCCTCCATCAAAATGCGACTGAAGCGACCAGGATCAAACTCACGACTTTTGGGTCAGCGGCGGAGTCCCCGGATTCGATTCCACAGTGATGCGCCTTTTCTTCTTCTTCTTTTTTTTTTCGTTTCGTCACATGATATTCTGGCCTGACGTTACAAAGCAGTAGCCATTCTCTGCACAGCACAACCCTTCCCTTCCCACAGAGCCTCCCTTTCGCTACACAAAGATACCATGCGATCAGGGCTACACCAAAGGACGGCTAAGATTAAGACAACTAAAACTCGAGGAAGAACAGTTTTGCTGTTAAAAGATGGAGAACGCTTAAGCTTTGCTTCCAGAGTAGAAAATGATGGTGGAACCGGGCCCCATTTGCATCGCCTTCTTAATTGGCTCCCTCGCTTCGGTTCACACATCAACTGTGCCGGAACGAACAGAATATCTGTGCAAGCAACACTGGCCGTTTAAAGCTGCTCTAGAATGCTAACTGCAAGTGCAGTTTCGAAGCACCTACTGCGCCAAAATTTTTCCTTTAGCGAAGCGAAATACTCACTATGAGACTGTAAGGCAACAAGCAAATCTTTCCCAGTTGCTCATCCTGCCTATGCTCTTGATGATGATAATTAAATGTCTGAGTGCTTTGAGATTGGAGGGCCCTTGACCCCTCACTCATAGTGCAATTCACATGTCTTTATGCCAGACGCGATTGTACACTTCTGTTACGCAACATCACACACATTAAGAAGACTCCTGGCATTGCACTACATTTGTACTGGGTTCTTTTCTGAAGCAGTTCCAACCACTGGTGTGGCAGAACCACTGCATGCCCTGCAGACAGCCTGCAATTCATTGTAACTCAAACATTTATCATTTATCAATTTGTATCAATCTCGATCGAGTTTTCTCCCACAAGCAACTCATTTTTTGCTCACAATCGACGAATCGATTGATATGTTTGATATGTGAGCTTTAACGTCTCAAAACCACTATATGATCTTGAGAGACGCCGTAGAGGAGGGCTCCGAAAATTTCGACCACCTGGGGTTCTTTAATGTGCACCGAAATCTGAGCACACAGGCCTACAGCATTTTCGCCTTCATCGGAAATGCAGCACACACAATCGACGAAGCCAACAGCATTCCCCCAAAAAGACATTGTTAGCACTGTTTCGTTAAAAATTGAAATTTACAATTGTGCCGCCACAGTACGACTGGCTAATCAGCTAGGCATACCCCGGTACACGAAGTCCACTTAAAATGGGACGTTATTGAATGCTTCCTCAAGTCTCATGTCATATTGTTTGAAGAGTAATCAAAGTATTTCATAACTATTCAAAAAAAGTTTGGTTTTTGCAATAATGGCTATATTTGACTCAAAAGTAAAATGAACTACAACTTATGTTGGTATTCAATGGCTTCAATTATTTACCCATTTACAAACCCCTAATATATTCAAAGGTTTCGTCTCAGTTGTCTTATTTCTTATGGAAGACAGTGAACTTAGTTTTAATGGATAAAATACCAACATGGAGCATTTGCCCCCTAATATGAAAAAAAGACAGAAACACACTCCCTAACCTGAAACACTTCCAAAGCCTCTCTCCACACAAAAGTTAACCAAGTAGGCACTTTTCAATCAATGTAATGCGGGTGCAGAAAGTAACTGACTAATGTGTCATAATGTTGCCACATAATAGTCATTTAAATTCATATCCACAGAGATTTTTAGAATTAAAACTCTACAGATGTTTCAGATTATATTCGACGACGCTGACCACAGTAATAAACATATTGAAAAAAGTATTTTTGCACAAATACTAGCGGCATGTGTTTATTAAAATTCCTCCTGCATATAAAAACAAGAACACTTGATATCATATAGATACAGTAGGCTTGGAGGCTGTTGCATCTCTTCAAAGGAAAGCTAACAGTCAATAAACAGGCAGAGTCTTCAGCATCTTTTCTTAAATATAGGTACAGCCTAAAGAATCTCAAACTCATCATCTGAAGTGTCAAACTTGCGCTCTTGCTCCACAACAGTGAATTCTGTAAAAGAAGAAACCTTTTTGTTACCCAAAGTACACCACAAGTATTATTGGATATACTATTTCCACCAGAAATTAGGCTCATTGAGATAATAAAACATGCTCTTTAACCACACGTAATAAAGGTTACAGTCAAGAGATAGCACAAAAACATACAGCTAGCTAATTACGAGTTGCAGCTAGAAACTTAGAGGAAATGAAATTACATGCTTCCATTTTTGACTTAAGGAATCATTTATCTTACAAATTTACTTTCAAAAACAACTTTTTTGTGTCTCTTACCCATAAAAACCTTGGAGATCAGAAAGCTCCCATTCATTAAATTACAGGAATATTTAGAAGTATCGTCTTAAAACAAGTATGCCAGCCAGCTAGGTGTCCCGACACCAGCTTTTCGGGGTTTAAGGCTGCGGCTAGCCTGAAACATCTTGGAGAATAGGCAGAGACAGACCGAGAACCATGTTTACTTGTGTAAGCCTCGGCCGCAACTGCCCACTGCCACCAGCTCTTGACCACATGTCACGAGCACACATGTAATCCTTGTTCTCCTCTTCTATGATCGGCGAGCTCTGGGTAGCTGCTCCCATAAGTTTTACTGTGAACCTTCAGTTTTTCTCTGTTCCCAATGATTAGGATATGCTAAGTTCTTTGTTACACTAAAATGCTATATCAAAAGCTCCGTAATACCAATAATTATTTTAGTTACGGTATAAAGGTTTGGACAGCCAAAATTTAGAAAGATACACCGGTCAAGCAAGGCAGCCGAGTGCGGTTTTGTGCTGCACTCTTCACTTGCATATTACAATAAAAACCAGAATATAGGTTAGACCAACCTCTTTCCCCCCCCCTCTCGCCCCAACTTCAAACTACTGAAAATCGAGAAAAAGATAATGTGCATAAAACAGTCAAGCATCAGGAGGCATTCTCCCAGTGAAACAAAAACGATTTGACCATTTATTTACACACAAGTCTCACATAGAAGAAAGCTGAAAGATGAGCTCATGCATTATCTTCCTAAAACATCGCAACCATCTTGACAGTTTTCATTTAAATACACTCTAAGGTCACCGGCAGTGTCTTCACGTGAGCGCAGCTGTTGCATAAATGATATCAAACTCTACAGTCGGAGACTACTTCAAACGTCCGCATCATCTTCTCCTCGAAGGCAGATGCACACAAGCCAACACCAATAGGCGTGCACTCCAGACTGATGTCATGAGCCAGACGGCCAGTGATCTCATCCCTCAAATACCATTGTCGAGTGGATGACTGGAATATTAGCCATGAAGGCAGTCAGCTGCACTGCTTCTGCCAGCTGGGCTGCGTTCTTTAAGACTTGTTAAGTTGTATCTGACCATCTGACTATAGATATGTTGGCATTCTGCCACTGAAATAGTTTTCTTCTGAATGCTGCATACCACATCGTGATCCTTCACATTGTGACAAGTGACATCACACTGTAATCAAACAAAATTCCCAGTGGGATGGTTTGGACAATATCAACTCCCATGTGTATTCCTCGGAGTGATTTATGTTTTTAATTTGTTGTAGGCTCACATTTCATGCTTTGCTTCATTGCTTCTCTTCACAATTTACAAATGAAATGTAACCAAAGATTGCAGCTGTTCATGGTCAATTTGAAATTAGGTCAACTGAATAAAATTGAGCTGCACAACACAAGAGATCTCTTTCCTCTAAGGTACAGCAACTTTAGAGAAATACAAGCATAAAATATCACTCTCTCCTCTAATGTGATTTCACAGAAACTGATGTTGAATTCCAATGGCAGAGTCAAAGCAAGTTTTTCTGCTCCTTTTGGGGCAAGTGTGTTCCAATGACAGAGTGAGGGTGGCAGTCAAGTGTTCCAATGAAAGAGTTGGAGAGAATTCAGAGCGGGATTGACTCCATGGAGCAAAAAAAGTTGCTCCACCGAAATCGGCGGAGCGGACCGAAACTCAGTGTGCCATACTCCTGTGACAATAATGGGATGGAGTGTTTGACCGCTGTGTGAGTGACCCCTCATTGGGGGTGCCGCCACTGTCGCGTGTTTTGGCAGTAATGGAGGACGACATAGTCCACTAGGAAAATCAATTCATTGCAGAGTGACAGCAAACAACCATGTTCGAAGAATTCGGCAGTGGCATAGCGAGATGGAATACATGTAAGGTATCCTGGGCAACTCAAGGATTTCCGCTTCTATCTTGCTCTCCATACTTGCTCTAGCAGTGTGGATTGTGATCCAATCACGGAGGCGTTGTTCAATGCCACAATCGAGTGCTCACTCGCAGAGTCTGTCGGCTGCTCCTACTCCACCATTGGAATTTAACATGAAACGCTGTGGCAGAAAGTAGTATTTCAACCAATAAATCTGCTAAACTTTTTCAAAGATGTGTATCAGGAACATAGTCATTTGCTCTAGTTTCATCTTGTTCAGCACTTGGACGTCCATGCATGAAGAGAGATAAGAGAGAGAGATAAAGATACAAGGAAAGGCAGGGAGGTTCACCAGACGCACATCCGGTTTGCTACCCTGCACTGGGGAAGGGATAAAGGGGAGAAAAGAGGTTGCACAAAGATGAGAAGGTCCACACAATCACGAGCACACTCGGTGAGCACACACAGTTCACAGACGGTCGCTCAGGTTTGTTGACTTAAGGTAAAGAAGCAGTGCTTTAGTTGCTTTCTGTGCAACTGAGGCAGATGCCCAAGGTCCTAGTATCTTCTGCACACAAAATGGTCCGGGGTCAAGTCGATTCAAAACTATCCGTAGCTGGCATCGCTGTGTGTCGTAGCAAGCGCAGCTGCAGAGGACGTGTTCGATGGTTTCTTCATCTCCGCAGTAGTCGCATGTAGGAGTGTCTGCCATACCAATGCGAAAGGAGTACACCTTTGTGAATGCAACACCCAACCAAAGGCGGCATAACAGTGTCGCATCGGAGCGGGAAAGTTGTGATGGTAGCTTTAGCTTTAGCGAAGGATCCAGTTCATAAAATTGACATGAAAAGTAGAAATGTACTATGCATCCTGGCTCTATAAGCATAAGAATACATTTAAGTGAAATCTTTATTTCTTCACGCTCCTGAAATTGCTTTGCAATAATTACAGAATTGTTTTGAATTTCACTGTAGACAGCACTGCAAAATGTCATCAATTTCAACTCGGTTATTTCAAATTCTCACTTAATTCAAAATACTTCCACTGTCCCATGTTTTTTAATGCAAGTCTGAACAAATAATTTGAAGCTGCGGTCGGCACCAGTCCAGTTAATTCAAAAATTTTTGGTGCCAAGCGCCCATTCCCGATCCAGATTTTGCCGCACATCCACAGAAACGACGGCCCTTATAACTTAGCGATAGAGTCAACTGACGATTTTTCGGACACCCGAATTTTCGGACATGCCCGGTAATTCTGACATCTTCACGGCACTGCCACGAGCCCCAAAGAATCAATGTATAAGGAAGTCTGAAATTTGGGACGCTCGAACCCCCCGGAGTCCAATTTTCCGGACTTTTCGATGCGACTGAAGGTCGGAAACCACCACTGACCTCCAGTGGAAACCACCACGACTGCGTCACACGCGATTACGATCGCATAAATGAGTGCACCGGTCTACTGTGGCGGCATCTGTTGCTTGGACTCGTTGATCGTTAGCGGAGAAACACACACAGCCTCCGAGATTCCTAACACTGGTCGTGTTTATCGTGCAAGGGTACTTCGCTGACAATCAAAACTATCCACCCGGAAATTTTTTAGCGCCAATAAAGTTCCTTTCGCTTTAGCACTTGTGCTCGTGCGTGCCACTCTGGCTTTCAGCGCAGCGCTTTCGCGAAGCGCTTCACCACTTCGAACTAGAACTGACCGTCACACACCCATTTGGTCTCGCCATGCTGGCTATCTTGAATGTTTACCAGCGCCACCTCCGGAGTACCCGAGGCACCGTCGCCTGCCGTCGCGCCGTTTTGTTTACGCAGCCCACATGGTGTTTGGCTAGCCTAGTGTGTGGTTGTGCGATCGTGTGAAGTGTGCTCTGCAACGCTAAGCCTAAATGTTTCGACGCTCGTCAGCAAACTCCTTTGTTCACATCGTGAGGATTTCGCTTGCCTGCGATGGCCCCAACTCCGCCTTCGTCGTCCCCGCCGATGACATCGAAGCACGAAAAACAGTACCGTCGATTATCGATGGAGACGAAAGCCACCATTATTAAGTTAGTGAAGAGTGGCCGATCGCAGGCTGACGTGAGCAAGGAGTTTGGCATTATCAAGCAAACAGTTCCCGATTTCCTGAGGAACAAAAACAAGATCTTGGAAGCGGCCGAAAAACAGTCTGGTGCCCAAAAGATGAATGCAAGCCACGTTGTTCATCCAAAGCTTGAGGACCCTCTCGTCGTGTGGCTTAATTCAATGATTGCAAAGCGGTTGCCAGTCTTAGGCTGCATCTTGAAACAAAAAGCGGAAACTCTCGCGCTTCGAATGGACATCACAGATTTTAAGTTCAGTGATGGATAGCTGAGAAACTTTAAGCATCGGAATGACCTCAAGTTCAAAAAGATGTGTGGCGAAAGCGGCGCCGTCGACAGTGCAGTTATTGCGCAGTATCGCAGTGGAAAACTCCAGTCTTTGTTGCAGCAGTTCTCTGCTGACAACATTTTCAACTGCGACGAAACTGGCTTGTTTTACAAGCTGCTGCCGGAAAAAACACTCGCTTTTGCTGGTGACGCGTGCCATGGTGGCAAGCATAGCAAGAAACAGCTGACTGTTCTTGTCGGCAGCAACATGTCTGGCAGCGAGAAACTTCCTTTATTAGTAATCGGGAAGTCCAAGAGCCCGAGGTGTTTTAAAGGGGAAATGCTGCCAGTGTTATACGAAGCCAACAAAAAGGCATGGGTAACCCAGCAGTTGTTCGAGAGTTACGTCCGCAGGTTGGACAGGAAGTTTGAACAACAGAACAGACGTGTTCTGCTCTTCGTTGACAACTGCGCTGCTCATGGTCACATCAATAACT